TAATTAGGGTAGTAGTAAGTTTTACAAAAAAAAAAAGTAAAATTTAAGTAAATAAAAATCTTTTTAAATAATCTCGTATGCTTACGTTAAATTTATACGTACAAATTATACAACAAAATAAAGTTTACATCGTAATAAAGTAACTAAAAAAAAAATTAAAAAACTAAAAACTAAATTAGTCACGCTAAATTTATAGATATATTTATATAAATAAGTTTGATTATTTTTTTTTTAATTCAGTCATCATTTTTTTTTAATGAACCCATTTTCAATTTTTTTTTTTTTTTTTTTTTTTTTTTTTACCACCAAAGAAGAAAATTTTTTTATTATTTCGTACCATGACTTAAAATAATTTTTTTCTTTTTAAAAACATCATCAATTTCGTAATCATCATTATTTAAAAATTTAAAAAAATATATATTTCCCCCCCCCCCTTTCTCTTCCCCCCTCTCTTTATCTAACACGGGTGAAAAGAGTTTTATTAAAAATTACGTAATAATAATAATAATAATGATTTTTTTCAAAACCTTTTACAAGTAAAAAAAAAATTTTTATCATTATTATTTAAAATTCCGGAAAATTCGTCGATGGAGAGGGAAAAAAAATCATTTTTTTATTTATTACGTTACTTACGAAAAAAATTGTTAACTACGATTGTTAAATAATAATAATAATAATAATAATAAAGTTATTGTTATAAACAATTAAGTTAATAACCGTAATCACGCAAATAATTATTATTGTGCATGCAATTTTTAACAAAACGAAGGTGTAAAGAAAAATTTTAATAACAATTTAAATGGAGATTAATGAAGTTATTATTATTATTATTATTATTAGGGATTAATTTTATAAACGTGAGTTTATTGTTTAAATAAATAAAATGGCCGCCGATTCGGATAGTAAAAAAAAAAATATTAAAAATCGTAGAGAACGCGTTCGATTGGTGGAAAAAAAGGATTTTATAAATGTAATAACATTTCCAAGTATTATTATTATTATTATTTTTTTGGATTTAAATTTTTTTTTTTTTTTCGTCAAGATCACGCTACGGGTTGATCCTTAATTGAAAAAGTCATCTCGGAGGCATGGAAAAAAATTTTTTTTTTTTTTTTTTTTAATTTGAATCGCCCCTGGGTGACCACACACGCATTCGCTAAAACAATTTCTTAAACACCTTCAGAACACACCGTATAATAATGAATTCGTGACATAAAAAAAAAAAAAAAAAAAAGGTGAGAGGTAATAATAATAATAATAATAATATGGACATAATAAGGCGTTTATTATTATTATTATTATTATAAAAAATAAATTATTTTAAACGAAAACGTCGAACGTCTTTATTATTGGATTTTTCTTTAAAAAAAAAAAAACAAAATGGCGGTATTTACCTCTTTGTAAAAGAATGCTATTTCTTGGATTTTTATTTTTTGTGCTTAAAGATGAACAATTCCACCTGTGCCATTTAAATTGATATTGACATTCGTCAACGGCCAATTGAAGGCCATCCATTGCACTTGACGTCACATCCGGAAATTGTTGACAAAGTTCCATTTGATCTTTATTTAATCCTTGAAATGTTTTACATATCGTTGGTCCTATTAATTCTTGTTTAAATATCGCGTAGGAGTTTCTTCCATCCCTTAAAAAAAAAAAAAGGTTTAAATCGTGTAAATAAATAAATAAATGATTAGTGCCACGAAACAAAACAAAACAAAATTTTAATTTTATTTTTTGTTTTAATTCATTCGAATGAAACAAAATTAAAATTAAACAGATAAAAAAAAAAAAAAAAAAAATTTTAATTTTACATTTTATTTCTTATCTACTAAAAAGTTTATTCTGCTACTTGTCAACTAGATGAATGAGCCTTAATATAAAGGTTTGTCGTCGTCGTCGTCGTCGTCGTCGTGCCTAAAAACCTTAGAAAGTTTTATTGTGTTAAAATTAAAATCTCTTGTATGTGCATGTTCATCATATGAATATCATTTTATAAGAATGGTGGCAGGTTGAAGAAAATTGTTTTTGTTTTGTTTTGTTTTTCTTTCTTCATTTTTATTCGTCACGGTTGCCATATATTTTATTTAAATATACATACAAATTATTTAATTTGTTTTTGTTTGTTGCTATTTCCACGATATTGCCATTCGTGCTTGTTACGCTTTGTTGAATTTTTTTTTTTTTTTGTTTTCAACAAACAAAACGTTTTAAAAAAAAAATGGCGTCGTCGTTTCAAACTCTAATGATTTCATTATGAAATTATTTTAAAAAAATTTCCCGAAATGATGATGTGAAAGCAGAAGAAAATTATCACGAATCCAAACATCACGATTGGTTGTTTTTTTTTTTTTTCCAGTCTTGTAAAATAAAATTACTCGAGTGAATACATTATTCCGGATATAGAATTAATAAGCTCATATAGAAAAAATGACTTCGTGAGTGATTTAAAACAAAAGAAAAAAGGAAAATTATTATAAAATGAATGCGACGACCGGATACGAAATAAAATAGGAATGCGCTTTGAAAAATATATAAAGTAATAAGAATCGAGATCATGTGTGAGTTGGGAAAATTATTATTATATCTACGAGACAAAAATTTTTAAAACGTACAAAGTCATGGTGAAAAGATTTGATGTATATAAGTCAGTAATTAGAATGGGAGACAAATTGATTTATACAGGTACGTGAGAAATATCGTTGAGAATAAGAGGTTCATCATTTCGTGTAACTCGTCCGTAGTACGTATAGGTATGTGGTCAAGTGGTGGTGGTGGTGGTAGTTGTGGTACCCTTTTTTTTTTCACCCTTTTTTTTTATATGTTTGAGATAAAAATGTCGTTTGTAGACAGGTTTTCATACTTAAAAACAAAAGTTACAAAACTTTTAAATCAAATTTTTTTTTTTAATAAAAAAAAAAAAAAATTTTCCCATACTTTGATTGAAAATATTTAAGGGTAAAAATGTCGGATAATATTTTTTTAAAAAAAAAAAAAAACAAAAAATGGAAGCTAAGCCGTAAAGAACAAAAAAAAAAAAAAAAAAAAAAACCGAGTCAAGAAGAATAATAGACCAAAGATATAGATTAAACGTGTTTAGGAATTAAAATACTTTTAAAAACAAGAAATCACGAACACATGTATCACAATAATAAATGTGGGCGAATTCTTTATGTAGCGGCCATTGTAAACTATTTTTTTTTTTTCTTTTTTTTTTTTATCTTAGCAGACATTGCTAGCAATTAGTATAAAACGTGTTATGATATCCGCATCCGATCCGCAATCATAATACCTTTCTTTAGTACCTAGTACTACCCGCTACCCACTACTACTACTACTTATTCCTCTCTTTAAAATTTTTTTTAAATGGATTTTTTAATTGACATTTTTTTTGCAAGTCAATAACTTATTATTAGTTTATTATGTGTGGACCATTAGAGAATTGATTTTTTTTTTTACACAAAAAAATGAGAGGTTACGTATCTTGTGAGAAAATCTCATGGGAAAAATGTCTTCTTCTCCTCCTTCTCCTTCATCTTCATCTTCATCTTCTTCTTCTTGTGTTCTTAAACTGAATAATTACATCGGAGTTTAAAAAAAAAAAAAAAAAAAAATTTAATAATTGATTTTTGACAGATTTTTTTTCTCTTTTTCATTCTTCCCTTTCCCTCCCCCGCCCCATTTTTGTTTTTTTACATGGTTATTTGCACTTGGTGTCACTTTTGTATCATCAATGTGATGAATCACGTTACATACCTTTCATTACTTTACATTTTAGTTTTTTTTTTTTTTTTTACGAAAGCGTTCATTTTTTTTTTAAAGATAAAATCAATTCGAATCCTGTCACCCACACGTAAATATTTTTCAAGTGTTTAAAGTCACTCAAAAGTCACTTTTCCTACTTTTTTATAAAGAAAAAAATTTTTTTTTTGAAATAAATAAAAACAACAATCGAAAAGTGTATAAATATTATTATTATTAATCGATTTTGAACGGGTACCTTAGGTTCGTTTTAAATCTAAGAAGAAAAACAATGTAATTAACTTATAAATTGAATAAAATAATAATAATAACAAAATTACGAAGAATGAATGATGCTTATATAATAATAATAAAAGTTTTCGAACACTTTATCAATAAATAATAAATAATTATAATGTGTGTGTGTGTGCGTGTGTGCGTTATTGATGAATGAATTATTATAAATACGATGACAGTTTTGATATGAGAATAGAAAAAAAAAAAAAAACAAAATGTCGGCGTCAAGTGAAATTGCCACAAATAAGAATTAATTCGGTTATTTTTTTTTCCTTAAACAAATCGTTTTTTATTTTTTTTTTTTTACGTGAATTTGTCGCTGAATGAAACAAATTTTTTATAAAAAGTGAAAAACATAATAAAAAAAACAAATAAATGAAACGAAAAAAAAAAAAAAAATTGTCGCAACCCCCAAGTCGAATAAAATATATAAAAAAAAAAAAAAACTTGGATCCTCCATTAAGAGTCATTTAAAAGTTGTTGTCAAACAAAAAGTTTTACGGTCCGTTTCTTTTCTTAAAGCTTTTCTGATAAGCAAATCCATTGACGTTTTCTCCGTGTTTCACATTACATTTAATTACCGGCTATTTATTATATTCAAAAATCCCGATAAGAGAAAAAAAAAAAAAAAAAAACTGGAAGTTTCAAATATTGAAACACACCAAATAAATAAATAAAAAATTTATACAGAAGCATTTTCCCTTTCAAAAATTTTTTTTTTCCTTTTTTTTTTTTTTTTTAATCGAATGAGTTCATCTTTTGTTTTGTTTTCTTTTTCACAAACCTTTTTTTTATTTTTTTAGATGAAAAAACCTTTCGTTTTTTTTTCTTATGACACGTTTATTTTTTTTAATTATTTAAAATTTATTTAATTATTTAAAATCCTCGATTGAAATTATAATTATTATTTTTTTTATTATTAAATTTTAAACAAAAAAAAAAGAAATTCAATAACGAGTTTTTTTTTTTTTGTTTTTAAATACAAAT